CTAACTGCCTCGTTACGGATTCGCCGACACCAACGCACACGAGTTATGGTTCTGAGACAACGATTGTCGAACACCTGAAGACGTCTCAGGTCCGTTGCTCGAATAGGCCAAGTCTCACAGCCATACAACAAAACAGCCCGTACTGTAGCTTGGTACACACGTCCCTTCAGATTCAGGGATAAACCATTCTGACGCCATAGGTGTCTCAAGTTAGCAAACGCGGTCCGAGCCTTGCAGATTCGTGCATTCACCTCATCTGTCACACTGCAATCAGAACTAATACAACTTCCAAGGTACGTAAAACGCTCCACAACTTCCAGTACCTCTCCCTGGATTGTAAGGGGCGTGGCGGAAGCCTGGAAGAAGACAGAATATGAACCCACAGAATAAAAAGGAACAATCACACAAAAATATGTCATCGATGAGATCTGTCTTTTAGGATGAGACCTATGTGATTCACCATTTACCAGGTGTTCACATTGACAATTACTACCCAGATCGTCTGGGTGCGCTACCTAACACGCGATTTCTCTAGTTCACCCATCCTTCCTTTAATATTGGACTCTGAAAAATTTAACACGACTGTTTGGTCGTGCATTACCAGTGCTCCAGTCTGGTGAAACTGTAAACATGTACAGCTTTGCTGAGTTATGTCATATACCTTAATAGATGTTTGAAGCCATTTCAGAGAAAAAGAGGTTGTTTCGTAAATAAATGCGAATGAAAACCACAATGAATTACGAACATGCACCCAGCAAGCTCACCCGAGCAGAAGACAACTGACATCTCTTCGAATGCATAGCACGGAGCGAGATAACGGAAGCTCCTTCATTGAATGAATTTACTTTAATGCATGAATGTCTTCACAAGGGAGACGAGAGACTGACAAGGCTACGGCCTTCAGTGCCCGGTTATCATTCCACTGTCGTGCTCAGCCTTGGCAGGGGGCGAGATGGCTTAGTGGTAAGATCGCCAATTTACTGACCGGAAGGTCCGTGGTTCGAACCCGACCTGTCACTCGACTTTCGCTGTCTAGGCTTGGGCAACCTGGCAGTATCCCAGCCCTCGTGCTTCCTTCAGGTAGCATGGCAGCTAGGCATCGAAAGGGTGCTACAGCTGAACGATATTTTATCAGAACCGGCAACCAGAATGCCTGCCTCATGAACTGCTGTTAGCGGATCGAATGTCATCCGCCGTTCAAAGTGATCTTTAGAGAATTCAGACACTGAGAACCGACTACGAACCATTGTTGAGCGACGGAAACAAACTAATCATCTAAAGTGTAAGCGAAAAAACAAGCGTTCTTCGAACTACCCATGCGCCCCCATTCGAAATGTCAGATGAACAACAGCTAGTAGAGGGCTTCCACCGACAGTTCGAGTTAGAGTATTCCAAAAGCAAAAAAGTGTTAAAAGAAAGATGAAGCCTTTCCGGTGATCTAGAGAGTCTGACTCTCAATCCTTTGTGAACCGTGAAATGAAATCTTGCGAACCACCTGCGAAGAGAACGGCAGCCAATCCTCCATCCAGTCTCTTGGAGTCACTCAAAAAGGTGACACGTCCAAGATAGACAACTATCGTCAGGCAGTGGAAACGTGCCACTACACTCGTCAAACGGGCAACCAAAAAGTACGAGAAATCAAACCAATCAATGTGACTCTCCATCAGGTACAGAGCGCGTGGGTCGACATTCACTATAATTGAGAGATTGGAACATTGCTTCAAGTTCGAACAACCCGTTTGCTTCAATGATTTCCAGATCTCAAAGAATTGTGGATGGTCGCGTCGGCTGATGATGAACCAAGCAAGGAAGTGAACCCCATGATGATTTGATGCGTCTGCGCGTTAGGCTGTACGGTGAATGTGCCTCCGGTATTGAGGTACAACCGCGTCATTCTCGGTCAGTCAGTTCGTTCATTTGCCCAGATAAATGAATGCTGTACCGCATTTTGGATAACTCGTACCTTATCGAAGATAGTATCGAGCGTAATGACACTCGGTGGATGAGTAAAACGAGCGAACTTGTTTGTTTACGGTCGCATTTAGACTATCTTCTGTCGGATAAATTGCTAAACACCCAGCGACAAGCGAAGTCAGAGTCAGAATCAACAATCCATGCGGCCTCTCTGCAACTCGATGCTAAGCTCTCGCAGGGTCTTCAAATGAGTCTTCTGACTGACAAACCGAAACGATACGTACCCGTAATTCTGAGTCTGTGATAAGGAGACACTGTACTGAGGCTGGCATATTAGGCTCATCCTTCAGATAGTGATACGACAATGTGAAAAACAACAAAGTAAGCCAACAGACCCACTGCATCATATTTACTGCTGAAATATATCAACTACAACGGTTCGGCGGTATCCTGTTCAAGCCTCGATCCAAACCAAGACGAGCCATCAATGATAACTTACAGGCTAGCGAAGACTCTGAACAGTTTAAACTCCGGTCTAATACGGCCAAAAGTGTCACGTAATGCCTAAGCCGTCACCCGTTTGAATTCGACATGAATGGTCAATAATTATGCTAGCCCAACTGGCAATCGTCAGGCGCGGGTAGATACGATGCGAAATATCTTGAAAGCCAGATTATCCCCGAACAGCAGCCAAGCGTCATTGTTGTCAACCCCCCCCCCCTTGACAGCCCACTGAACAGTGCTGGACTTATGCACCAACTTACCAGCTCGCACCTGCAATGCGCAGCTACCTCCCCCCTCCCACAAATCATCGGTGAACGAAACTGCGGCAGCTGCAACCACTGTACGACGAGTACGCGGTTATTACAGCTGACAATGATGATGATGATGTCAATGGTTTACTGGATGAAACAGTCAGTGAGAGACTTTTTCATGGGTTGAAGTTTTCTGAACTGTGGACAATCAAAAACTGAGCTTTAATCATCAACTTTACTCTGCAGAAACCGAAAAGAGGAAGCATAAGACGGACTATTCTACCAATCTCAAGCATTGTACACGAAGCACGGTTATTAGCCACCCGCCGTTTCCTGTCAGAAAGCCGTAGCACGAAATAATGAGGCAAGACGAACTGCGGTCATGCAATGAAAATAGGGCAGCAAAGCGTCAGTATTGAACTGTGCTATCTACGATGCTGAATAAAGAAGCAACGATTATGGTTCGATGGTGAATACGATATTTGGGTTCCTTACGATCCTATGAATTAACCGATAGTACACCAATACTCAGAAATTGATAGCCCGAACGCTCGGAGACGGAAAGTCCGTGCGCGCAAGAAGTGAGTATTAGCGAATAGGGATAGGCTAACCACACACAATAAAAAACAACCTACCGATGGGTCATTTCGGTTTGATTCCATTGTGGCCTTGAAATGCTTCAGTGCTTTCTTTAAGTTGAAAATGTCTGGAGAACAAAGTCAACAGTAAGGAATGATGTGACTCACCAGCGCGAGCCCTTCGTTCCATGTCTTTGATTATCTTCAAACGCAACTCAAAAGCATCTTTGCCCCCATGTTTCTTGTATGCACTGCAAGAAATTTCATCCGAGAAAATGCGTATACTTACAGCTGCTCAACGTCAGAACGCAGAAAGACTTGTGTTTGGGTTTCACCTGAGTAGGGACTGCGGCTGTAATAACGAGGCAACGCCTCTAAGTCCCTGGGGACGGATAGTCAGTCGGTATGACCCAAAACATACTGTGTGGTTAAAATGTACTCCCGTATTGCACGCAGAGGGGTAATGAACTTGACAGATTTCACGGAATCGTCATAGGTAAAGCTTGACTTGATTTTTGCGACCACTGAAAGGACAGTCTAGAAAGTAAAGAAATGTGGAGACCTTTGGGATCAACTCGCGTTGCGACCGTGGCGGGGGACGGTGCTGAAGGTTGTTTTGCATCGCTCGAAAAAAGAACGGATAAAATAGCTAAACAAGAACCGAAATCGTGCGTTCGGGGTGAGAAAAGCTTACTTTTTGGTGCTATCCGATGGTATCTATTGAAGGACCTGTGAACCACACGCATCCGAAGCAAACTTAGCATCCGTAGACGCCAGAAATCAATCACGCTTGGCGATGAGAACAACCGGATGGTCAAGGAACACTGACGTCAAAGGTCAGGCCACTGCCGAGTGGGTAGACCCACCTAGAATGATTTCGAGAACAAGGTGCGGTAGCTGAAATAGATAAAATAAAATGACGGATCCCTTCAGTAACCGGGATAGTGCCATAAAAAGTGAACCATGGTACAATTTAGGAACACTCAACAACTTCATCATGTGTTGGCCACGCTTGTACGATCATGTCTTGATTTTTCACTGCAAACATAAAGATCATAGACCGTTCCGTAGAAGTAACAAAAGAAACAAGATGCATTAAGATATCAACGCCACATTGTATGGGAAAATGCACAGATTGAATATATGTAGACAGTAAGGGTGTCAAAACTCACAAAGACTAGTGACACTGTAGAAGAGCGGACAAATGAACAACTCGATTCTGCTAGATAATCAGAACTTGATAGAAATGGCCAAAGTTGAATGGAACAGGAGTTAGGAATGTTAAAATTTCGCCCTGAGGAAAATTTTCCGCAAAATTTGTCACGAGAAAGTGGCGGACATCATGTCACAACCACAAGATTCTCCGAGTAATTGGGGAGAATGAATACAGCAACAAAGTGAAAAGTCCACTTTGAATAGAATTGAGAAGGATGGGGAGGAAAAATAAGTTGGTCCAAAAATCACAGCAGCTTTCCAGAACAGGACATGTATGAAACATAGGGGGAGGCTGTCGAGAAAGCGCTTCGTCTCATACTTCCAACTGCGTTTCTTAGTAGAATCGCTACAATTAAGATGGACAGCACGTGGGTTCCCGCATGCGAGTTCGAAGTTCTGACACGCGGAACACGGATGAAGTGTCGAGATGGTTCAGACTTAGTTTCTCACGAGCGACTAAATCAAAATCTGTTAAGGTGGCCGAAAAGCGGAGTGAATACACGTTGGTTTTCACAGAAGCGGTAGGTGGATAAACAGCAAACATCATAGAAGCGACGTACTCTTGCAGCAGTCAGTTCTTTGAGTGAGAGTAAGAAATGTACGTACCGAAAGACAGATCAACTTTCGCTGATAGCATTACTAAGGTCAAAAAGAGATCGATCGAACACACGCTCCGGCTGCACATTTAATCGTAACTCCTGCGCAATCACCGTGGACTACGAGAAGGATGTTTGTGACTCGCGAGGCCAACCAAGTGTTTGGGACATAAGCCAGAGGTTAGTGTTGTGAGCCTACCAGGTCCCTATCCGCAATAATACTTCACCTATGTCTTCCTTGATATACGAAGTGCCTTGACCAGATCGTATCCAGTTACTTTTACACGAAGAGAAATCGTTCCAGAACTATCCTCAATCACCGGGAGGTTCTCCGCCAAATCCTTACTGATTGATGTTGACCGTCTTGAAACATTTCAAAACCAGTATCTATTCTCAACCGTGGACCTCCTTCTGACCAATTCACTGTTTCGTTTCAATCACTCATTTATCAGGATTTTCGAAGTCAAACGGTTCAAGTGTGGTGTTGGGATCAAACGCCTCCTGAGCGACTACTTACGTCATCACCATTGACAACAACCCCAGGTGCTCCACTGCCGTACAACGATGTCAATTTATTTGACTAATACCTTATAATGGAAAAAAGTGAACTAGGGCTAGCCTACAACGAGCACCCGAGGTGCCTACAACTATACTAAGTCAGGCGATCTGGATAGTGACTGACAACATGGACGCCACTGACATCAGTTAGTCGTCATATCGTTCAGTGTCTCCAATAATGCATGGAAAGAGATCATCTGGAAGGCGAACCAACTTTCTGTAATACCATTCCTCCCCGTGTTCCATGTCCACCTCTAGATTTCCGCAACCTGAATTAGGCACGGAAAACAACGGTCGTGTAGATAGCCGCTAACCCGCCTTGCTTATAACACATGGGCTAGCCACTTTAGCTTGCAATGCTGGATTCATCCTCTGAGTGGAGCGCCACCTGCCCTGCCAAAGACGAGGTCCATGATCAACCCATCCGAATCAGTTTATTCCAGTAGATTCCCGTCATACTTCTGAGACATCGGTGGTCAAAGGCCTAAAGATGCCCCAGATCTTTAGCCCAAAGTGGCCAGGTCCCGCAGCCGTAAAACAGCCAGTCTGATACACACACAAATACACGCCACAAATGGTGCAAATCAGCGAACACAAATCTGTCCGTCGAGATTCGTGCATTCACTTCGTCAGGGTGAATGCAACCTTTGTGATATGCTTAGTGGTTTACAACCTCCAGTGTTACTCGTTGAATTCTTGGAGGTGTGTTCAAAGTACGGCCTTGCACTTTGTGGGCGCGAAGCAAATGTCGAAAGACTGGATGACCTTCGTCAGTTTTTCTAGTAGTGCTTGAGCGTTCTAGTCTTCAAAAATGATAACTTCATCATCATCGACAGCATGACATCAGTGTTCAACACCGATGTTTCACTGCCGTTCAAAAATAAGAACAATACTATCTGCATATTCCAGGTCGACAAGGCTCTCGCTCGAAACATAAGAACATGATGGAAAGCTCAGCTCAACGGCCGTACTCGAGGAATGAAGCTTCGCTTCAGATATATAGCACACACCAACAGAAACAGAATTCGGTGCACATGCAAGAGCTGAATGCGAACGTTAAAGACGTCCAGACGCACTGGGCCATCAGATATCGAGTCTCTCCAATCCTATCCAAAATCGTGGTAGACGTGATAGTGAAACAGAGACTGGAAGATTTTCGAAACCACACTGCTCAAATAGCTGCCGTCAAAAGCCTTGTCGACTCGGAAGTCGCGGACGACATCTCAATGACTGTAATACCTTAGTCCCGGTCTTGGTCTGAACCTTCGAAGCTACTGCTTTCGCAGCATGTACTGACACCCCGTTGTATTTAAAATTAATGAGGCGAAAACATTCTGGAAATCCCGGTGCTTTCTGGACGCAAAAGGCGTACAACAGATGCTTAATCTTGACTGGTTGTTGGGTCCACACTTTCGACGGGTCTCGCCTTGATGCTGAACCAGCAAGTGGCCTTATCGTCAGCCAAACATATGTAAACTAGGTCGTTTGGATGTAGCAAAATCTAATTGGGAGCGGTAAAGCGTTCGTTATGTGGGATTCTGCCCAACACTTCACGCTTAAAGTTTGTTGATGTAGCGTCGAAGTCAAGGGTTCACCAGAAGTGGCCTCACTGGCTTGCAGATCCGTTCTGATCATCGAGGCGGTCGTAATATGTGCTCGGGCTTGGCCTCCAACGGAGCAACTGATTGATTTTCTGGGATGGTGCCGAAATCAAAAGTGCCCACAAGCATCTCTACACCCAACTTACTCGGTCCCGTGGGCAGGATATGCGGACCTGTCAGGCGGGTTTGGTTTTGTGCCGGATCCAACTGGCTGGGTCAACTTGAATCTCATAGAGCATTTTGCCACGTTGAAGGATGTGTCCTGGAATCCACGTAGATTGTCTACCGCTATAGTTGGAAACCAACACTCTCTGGTTTTTGCTGAAGTAACGCGCTCCATGATGCCGGTTGAACTGTTCTTCCATTCTTGTGTTGCAGTGACTAATCTGCCCTTTTTGTGGCCGGATGGTGTCATACGGTGTTCGAAGCCCCCTCAGGAGCAGTGAGTCTGCTCGTGACACTACATCAAGCGAGTTGGGGATTAGCGTCGCTCGATATGATAGCAGGAACCTTTGCAAAATCTCTTTAGTTGGTCCCTCCCCTCTGAACTCCCGAAGTGCCCTCCTCGAGGTGACGACGGAGCGTTTTGCCTGACCGTTCGACTGTGGATGAAACGGCGGCGAGTGGGCATGAGTTAGGCCTCTGTGAACAAGCCTCTGCGAACGCCGAGGATGTGAACTGACTGCCTTAGTCAGATACAATCGTTTCTGGTATTCCAAAGTGGGGGAACAATCGTCCGTGTCCCGGGACTGTTGTGGCAGTCGTGGGGCTGCTCACTGGAAACATTTCCAGCCATTTGCTGAGGGCATCGACCACGACCAAAAATTGTTAGCCACCAACTGGACCTGAATAGTCGGTGTGGAGACGAGACCAGGGTTCAGTCCGTTACGGCTACGACTGTGGGTAGGTTTTCGCTGGCAACTTGGATGCTTCACCACATTACAGGAAGATTTGGAGACTTCTTCAATCTGGGAGTCCATCAAAGGATAGTAAACGTAACTCCGAGCAAGTGCCTTCACCTCGTTTGTTCCCGAGTGTCTTGTGTGGAACTGATTCAGGACGGCTGGTTGTAACTTCACTTGGATGGCAACGCGTCCTGAAAACGAAAGCCATCTATCGGCTAGTGATAATTGAGGTAAGGCCACATTCCACCTTTCGGGCAGGTACGCGGCCATCGATTAAGGCGATGCTTGACCTGTTGCAGCAGAATCTTGATCGGTAGCCTGGCGGACCGCTCCGGAATTTACGCGGCTAACCTTCGGTTCCAAAGCATTTTGGCAACTACAGTAAGTTCTGCTTCTGGCCTGCTTAAATCAATGATAAGCGGCAGTACGTTGGCTTATCCGGGGCTGACTGTGGACTGGTACTTGATCTTGAAGTTGTATTAAAAAAACAGAGTTACCCATTGTTGGTTGGCGTATATATCGGGCTCCCCTTTTTTAAGCCAAATACAACGATTGGCTTGTGATCAGCCAGTAAGATGAACTGAAGGTCGTGGAGCATTTCATGGAAGGTTTTGACGGCAAACACGATCGCGAAAGCCTCCCAAACCACTGAATGTAGTTGC